ACGAACCAGAGTAGCTCCAACATTCAAATTCTTCATGTTCATCTTTTATTTATCCAAATAAAATGGCTTCCAAAATTAATCGGAAGTCATCCTTGTTTTTTATCCCTCTCTTGTAGATTTCTTTGTTAAAGTGTTTTTTTTTAATCTATGTTTTACACCAAAAAATGTACACCATTTATACACTACAGTTATGCACAAACATTTTGATGGTTTACACCGACACAAGTGTTGGTGCGTTAACAAAAATTTACACGGACACAAAGTGTTGGTGCACTAACAAAAATTAGTTTTACACCAACACAAAATATTGGTGCAAACCTTAGGGTACAAATTGGAGTATAAATATTGGGGTACATATAGCTTAATCCATGTTTTTATTTGTAAGCTTGTTGTAAAATAACAAAGAATGCTTTATTAATTGAATAAATAGAAAAGGAATACAAAGTACTCCGTATGTATTTATAGGTGGAGGAATATATTCTAGAATCCTCCACATTAGTGACTAATTATATAAGGTAATATTATATAATAATAATTCTAACTATAATAGGTAACAACCATAATTATAATATATAATATTAAATATATTAAATAATTGATATATTTAACATGCTCCCAACGTCCTGAACGGTGAAGATTGAACGCCAACTATACTTGAATCGTGACCAAAATTGTAATCAGAAGCTAGAGGCATATCTTCGGCTAGAGTAGACTGAATGCATGCATCCGGCCTAGAAGAGAAGAAGAAAGATTGCTAGAAAAGAGATGTGAAGGCGCTGATGAGGAGAGGAGAAAAGCCGCTGCGAACAGACTCGTGCTGCTGACGTCGAAAGAGGGAGAAGGTTGACGTGCACTGGAGTCGTGCGCGACTGGGTTAGAGAAGAAAAACAAGGAATGAGGTACTGCCGGAGATGCATGTTGACCGACGATCCACCCACGAAGCAAGTTGAGGTGATGATATGAGTTGTGAGAGATCGAAAAAAATAGGGATTGAAGGGTGATTGGAGGATAATGACTTCTGACTCATGTTACTCTCAAGTGAACAGGTGCGATCTTGGCGCCAGGAGAGGCCGGTAGTTTGGTGGAGTAGGGGACGCCGGTCAGAGCTGCGGCGATTAGGAGAAGAGGATGACGTTAGAGATGCCGGTGACTATAATAGAGATTTTTTTGTATAATGGAAGAATTTGGATCAGAGGAAAACAGTGATCCGGCGGGCGGCGGTTAATGGCGGTGCCGCCCGCCAGAAGCGAAAGCGGAGAAATTTAGGTCACCAAGAACGGTGGCTCTGATACCATGTAAAATAACAAATAATGCTTTATTTCTTGAATAAATAGAAAAGGAATACAAAGTATGTATTTATAGGTGGAGGAATATATTCTAGAATCCTCCACATTAGTGACTAATTATATAAGGTAATATTATATAATAATAACTCTAACTATAATAGGTAACAACCATAATTATAATATATAATATTAAATATATTAAATAATTGATATATTTAACACTTGTTCATTTAAAAAAATTGAAATAAAAAAAATGGTTTTTGTTCATCTTTTTGTATGTTCTTTGGATTTTATACTAAATCCTTATGAATGAGAATGAATTCTTACGGGTTTTCTTCAATTTTTGCACAAATTGATGTTAAATTATAAATTTTATTTCGTAAGTAGGTTGGTATGTCGACTTTGATTTTCATTGAAGCAATTTTAGTTCCATATAGTTAAATGATTCTCGGATTAATACGTGATTCTTTGTTGTGACTTGAGTTTGTAAAAGTTTAAGGTTTATGGACTTCTTAGCCCCATAAGTTAGACGTTTTCTTTAAGATTCGTTATAGAGTGATTGTTTATGTCTTCATGTTCTTGTTTGTTATTTTCATAAAAATTGGGATTCTTTAAGCGCAATAAACAACTTTTGATTTAATGAAAATATGTATTGTTCTCTTATGTGAATAGACTAGAATTCTTATGCTTGAGTTGTTCAAGGAAACCTGTAAAATATTTTCATCATTAGACATTAAAGTTTATTAAAGTGTATAAAATGTTCTTCATGGATAAATTATGCATGTGAGTTAGAATGAAATAAAGATTCGCTCTTTTATAAACTTTTTCGTCTTTTGAAATCATTGTTTGAGCGCTTGAGGTGAGTTTGGTTTCAAAATGATCAAAAAGGCCTTTGAATTACATGGCTCTAGGCCTTATAGAGAGTTGACGATCCTTTATATGTGGTCAAGGATATGATTCAACTCGATCTTTTGAATTATTTTCTATTCTTAAGTGCGCAAGTTAAATAATATATTTTCTACGTGCCTATTGTACGTATAATGTTTGACTTATGTGTTTGTTCTCTTGTTGTTTTGTTTCGGATTCTTGGGGGTGTTCCATGGGTTTTCTAAATTGGAGAAGTTGAGTATCTTTTGAGCTTGTTTCTCCCATTTTATCAAAAAAAAACAAAAAAAAAGAAAAATATAAAAAACCAAACAAATACTCCCTCCGTCCCCGAAAACCTTTCTCCTTTCTTTTTTCATCCGTCCCAAAAAACACTTTTTTTTCTATTAAAAAGTCACTTTTACCCCTTACTTTTTCATACCCTACATATCACATCATACCTTTTTACTAATAATCTACCCATCAAATCTTACTTTTATCCATCACATTAAAGAACATTTTTGGAAATTCAATACCAAAATATACTCCCTTAAATCTCTTCAAAAAACAAAACATCCCATGTTTTATGGAACGGAGGAAGTATTTACTTTTTATTCAACCCGCCTCCCCCTTGTTATGTTTAGGTTATAGTATAAGTTGATGTTTATAAGTTGTTTTAAATATAAATATTGATATTACTTTATACTTAAGTATGTGTTTCGTGTTTTGTAAGTTATATTATAAGTTCTTTGTTTATGTAAGTTATTTATAAGTTCTTATATTTATTTAGTTATATAAGTTTTATTTTAAGTTTATAAGTTTTATCATATGTGGAGTAGTTAGTTTTATTATTATTTTGTGACAACGTGTTTGCTTGCTAAATTGATTTTAAAAAGATCAGTCTTTCTCCGTGGGATCGACCCTTACTTCCCCTAGCTATACTTTTTATTTGATTATATCTTGGGGGTTAACTATGGATTATAAATTTTTAATTTATTTTGAACCACACGACGGGTCTCCAACAGATTTTTTCGAATGACGACTGGTACTCCATGATGACTCCTACTTGTCAGACACGAACTGATTGTCCGACATAGTCGACATAATGTAGTGGGCCAAATCGGAGTTTGAATTTACGGACAAAGCTGTCCCAGTTGTCGATCAACCCGTAGTTCCTTCGCCATCGATATCAGTCCGCAGGCTGTCCCTCTAACATCATGGTTACACAGCGTAACCTATCTGATGGGCCGATACCCAACGAGCAGCCAAAAAACCATACCCGGAAGCCGCTGGGTCACTAGAGCCAAGGTGCATTAACTCTGGAGAAGTTGGGCCCGGGCCAATCAAACAAAGAAGACAGCTGGAAGAGTCAATCCGTAAGAGGAGATTCAGCGAAAGGTGGGTACGTAGCCGAAGAAAGTGGATCGCGCCATTGACAGATAGTCTCCTTTGATTATGAACTACCTTAATTACTCAAGAAACTATGTATAAATAGAGAGGATCTGGATGGGGATCCTCAAGCTGAATCAAGCTAATAAAACCTATAATTCTCGAGTTCTTGTTCTTGATAATTTCTTTCAATCTACTTTTCTGAATCGGATCATTTGGTGAA